TTTAAGATATGAAGAAATTAACTATGAGAAACTTTATTATAGAGGACTCAACGATCATTCTTAATGACCTAATTTCCTTTTGTTGATTAAGGAGGATTAAAAACTCAAATCCACAAAAGAAAATTATAGCAAAAATATCTGCAAGTATAATAAAATAAATCTAAGAAGGAAGAAAGTTGTATCATCTTGAAATTCTTATATTTCCTTTCAAAATGTGTGTTTGTATATAGATAGATAGATAGGCGTTAATATTAATTAATGAGGTTCTAGAGTGTTGCATGAGAGAATATGAGAATATTTATGAATTATACTGATTAAATAATTTTATTATAATATAATGGAATGATTTTGCAACCAAGGTTAAAAGATTTAACTAAAGGAGTTAAAGTAAGGTTAAGAGTTATATTATTTTTTATTTTTTTTTTAAGTCAGAAGTTACTAGATATTACATCTTACATTTCTCATTCTTTCACTTTTAGAGAAATTGAAGAACAAGGAGAGGAGGACCCAAGAGCAATAAGGTAGACTTTCATCTTTCAACAAAGTGCTCGTGGAGATAAGGAGGAGTGAGGATTTTTCTTATGTGGAAGTCAATTATCTGTGAAGTAGGGTTTTTATTTATTTTTATTAGTGAAACTATCTTTAGAAAAATTCATGGTTTGATCTAAAAACAAAAATATGATTTTATACTCTTCTTATGAGCATGAGATGTTGATTTTGAGTTGTATGCATAGTGGAATTAAAGTTTGGTATTACAGTCATGAATCTATGAGTGTTTGTGAATAATGTAAAAACCCTTGTTTTGTAGAGTACTTGAGATTGTGTGTAATTAGTGAATTGTGTTAAATTGTAGTGTAGTTGGATGTTGTAATGGTATGATGATTGATGAGGAACATTAATTTAATGAAATTACTGATTAATTTGAAAATTGAAAATTTGGCATGATTGGGTGAAACTCACACTTTGTGTAGTTCGTCATCAACTATAGTGACACCGAGTACAAGGGAAGAGGTGTCAAGCATAAAATCCACAAAGAGCAGGATTGTTTTTTGTGGTGATAATGTCGAGTGTGGGGGTAGCCACACCGAGTGTGTGAACTCCAAGGGTGCCTTAGTGGTAATTTTGTCAGGCATGAGTTAAGTCATGTCATACGTGGTGTGGGGACCATTGAGCGCGATAATTAAGTTGATGACTTGTGTGTGCAATTGTGTGAGCTGTAATATATTATGTATGAGTGATGAGAAATTGTATTGTGAACTTCAAGGGTGCCTTGGTGGTATTTTTTTTAGGCGTGAGTCAAGTCACACTAGACGTGGTGTGGGTATCGTCGAGTACGATAACTAAATTGATGACTTGTGTGTGCAATTGTGTGTATTGGTGAATTGTAATATGTTATGTATGAGTAATGTGAAATTGTATTGTGATTGTTAAGGTTGTGTTTGAATGAATAAAATGAGTATGTAAATTGAACTAGGAAGTTAAGCCTTTAGGTCATGAGATAAAGCCTTCGAGCCATGAGATTAAGCCTTCAAGCCACAAGGATGTGTCATGGGATTATGAGTAGAGTTATGGAGGTTTTAACCTATTACTATTCATATAATTGACATTAGAGAAGTGTGCATTAATTAGTTGGGGTTGTGGAGTTCAAGTGTGCTAACATGAACGTGATGGATGGTGAACTGTGTAGATGTATTGTTGTTTAACATGAGTTGGTATTTATTATCATATTTTATTCAAGTTTATGTTGATTATATTAGAGTGAGGCGCTTCTTACTCATCTCTATTTTTTGTTGTTTTATGTTGAGTGTGTTGCAAGTAATGACTATCATGTTGGTGATACAGGTGACGAGGCATGAACCTTTGTATGCTTTGATAGGATGTGATACATGTGGGCATATTATAGGATTATTTTTATTAATTCAAAAGAGAACATCAAACTAGTCAAAAAGAGGGGAAAAAAGAATTTAAAGCTTTCCACTTTAAATCATCTAATCGAAAGGTTTTATAACCTTTATTCTAACCCTAAAATTTATATTTACATTTAGGGTACAAAAAGGATCCAAGTCCTACTCAATTAAATCAATAAAAATGCAAAACAAAGAGTATATTAACCAAGATCGAGGATTAACCAAGGTTGAGGATCAGTCATGGTTGAAGGCTTAACCAAGACAAACCAAGGCTAAGATCAAATGCTTAACCAAAACTGAGGATCAACCAAGGTTGAGGGTTAATCAAGGTTGAGGGTTAATCAAGGTTGAAGACTTAACCAAGATTGAGGGTCAACCAAGGTCAAGGACCGGTCAAGGCAGGCTTAACCAAAAAGCCAAGTTTGAGGGCTAGTCAAGGTTGAAGGCTTAACCAAGATTTATACTTACGAGCAGAAAGTTAAAAATTGAGGGGATGTTTAAAGTCTAAAGATAAGCCTTATGGTTTAGGATAATTACTCATTAAAAGTTGTCACATAGGATAAAGCCCAAAAGTTTAGGCCCATCAAGAGGGTCCAGGTCCAATAAGATTAATATAAATAATGATGCTTGATAAGATAAAGACACATTTAACTCGCATTTAATGTATCATCATAGTCGTAGCCTAATACTAACTTGATTGTTGGAGTATCTTTTGTAGGTACACCCCTTCTCTCTCTTAAGTTAGAACATACTAAAGATCCTTCGTTTAAAGAAATGGAGTAGGAGGATTGCTTGAAAGAGTACCCTTGTACCTTTGTGTAGGTACAAATAATGTTGTCAAACACCATGTCCATGGTGGGTTTTGCAACCATGTTATGAATCTTGTTGTCGACAACAACTAAGCTTTATTAGAATGTCCACCATTGTGGTGAGTTTCAAAACCATGCTGTGGACCTTGGTTTAAAAAATGTTTAAGTTATCTATGATAAGTCCAACAATCAAGTTGTGGACCTAGATACCAACAATGTCTAAGTTATCCTAAAACACTCATAACTTTGGCGAGTTACATAACTAGGTTGTGGACTTTATTGTCTCAATTTCTCGAAGTCTCATTTATGCTCCCAATGGTGGTCATTCCTACATCTTAGGTGATGACTTTTTTCCATAACTAGCTTTGAGTTGCTTCTAATTTTCTTAAAGTCCTTTTCTTGGTTCTAAATCACTATAAGTCCTTAGTCTTTAAAGGCCTATTTGGTTCAAAGGAGGCGAGAGAGGGGAGGGAAAGGGGGAAAAGAGTTAGAATTTATATTTGGTCGAGAGAAGGGAAAATGGAGAGAAGGTAACTCTTTTCTTATTTGATGCTCAAGGGGACAAAATTTTAAAAATTAATTTACCTTTATATCTTTATAATTTTAAATTTTAAAAACATGTAAAGATATTTTAGAAATTATACTAAAAATGTTTAAAATCCCTTCCCTCCCTTCCCTTCCAAATCCCTTCAATATTGGAGGGGAGCAAAAATTAGGTGAAGAGGGGTTTTGATCTCTTCCATTCCCCTCCTCAAAATTGAACCAAACAAGAAAAGTTAACAAAACTCCCTCCCTTTCATTCACCTCCAATCAAACATTATGTAAGTTCAAAGGTTAAATCATCCAATAACAAGCCTCTTTGAAAAAATAATTAAAAAAAAAATACAACAAGAACCCATAAGTCTAAAGTGACAAAATTAAGAAAAATAAGGGTAAAACCAATCATAATTAACTCAAAATGTAAGAGATTGGACTATGCTAACATGAATGTTATGAGGTGAACTCTGATCTTCCATATGGACGTCTAAAATATTTTTAACTTGAGTAATTTGACATAAGTTGTTGACTGTGTTAGAGTGGGAATTGAATTTACTAAACTCTCACAAATGACAGTAATAGTATGTCTGAGTTAGGACTACTAATAATGACCAAAATATAGGTAACATTAAATTAAGTATTTTCTTAGTGGATCAAGATTTCAAGTCTCCAAAGAGTGATGTAACTCTTTGTCATGACATGACAAAAACATCATGAATAAGTATACAAACATGTAAAAGTTATTTCAACACTAAATTAATAATTATTTCACTTGAGTGAAGACGTGAAATAAATATTTATCTATTATAATTACATTGGTTGCATTTATAAAAGTTTATGATAAATCAAATTCTTAGCATAAAATCTAATGTCTCTCAAAGATAATTTTATCTTACTTTAGTGTAATGATTAGATGACTTTATTCTAAGTCAAAATATAATTCAATTTACATGATTTTATTTTAAGAATTTTGGACCTATATGTATTGACATTGATTAACCCTATATAAATCGGCCATTAAGTTTAGTGCTCACAAGTCACAACTATTATTATTGTTGCATTTTATTATTTTAACTATTATTTAAAAGTCTAAACTCTGGATGCAGAAGAAATAACATAACACTTTGGCCTTTAAAAAAAAGCGAAAATAATGTAAACATATAATCATATAAACTTTTCGATTTCATTTTCATGTTTGTTTTTTAAGGGAAACAAAATTGTTCTTTTTAGCATTTCGAAATCACATTTGTGTATTCACTTTATGACCCAAATGAAAAAACGTGGCCCGTGACAAGATTACGGATTTACTCTTAGGAAACACTCCACCAAAAATTACCCAATTATTTTATTATAGGAGTGAACTTAATTGGTCCAAACATTTGCCTTTACATGATGATTGAAACAAATGAGGTATCTGACACTTTTTTTTATACTTTAGGAATTAAACCATTACGAGTGTCAAGAGCATAAACTCTAAAAAATTGTTAACAAAAAAAGCCTGAAACTTTTTACTAGTATTAAAAGAACAAAGAAATCAAAGCTATATTGACCTATAAGCTGAAAATTTGTCCAACTCAAAACTCACATCACGTGGCTGAGATACAAATGCTAACCCAAAAGCTACAAAAGAACAAAACAAGAACATGCAAATCTCAATCTAAAATCTTTACAACGGTGAGGGATCATGTGAGGTGAAGCTCAAACGTAAACAAACAAGAGTTAACCGTGAGGGAAGAGAGGTTGGCGATGATAGTTAATTACATAATTACTTCTTCGAATAAACAAATAATAGAACACCAAAATTTAATAAAATACTTGGTGCATGCAGAATTTTCTCCAAGATAAACTAAACAAATAAACTTTGGTGTCCCTGAAATGTCCATCATTGTTGATGTAAAATAAAACAATTGCATAGTTGGTAGGTATAGACAAACCAAGCAAACATTATTAAACATACATCATTTTCTATTGGCTTTATCTGGTTCTTCAGCGCGGTTTGTGGTGGTGCCAGTGCTGCTAAACGTTGGAACACTCTCAGCATTCTCTAGTTCAACTCTGAACTTCTCATAGATGTCACCTTTGTAGAATTTCCTTGTCCTCAACACTAGAATAAAGGAAACAAAACATCCAATTAAAGTTGAAGCAGTGATTATGATAAAAGCCATTTTATAGCACTGCACTCCCATGCAAGTTAAGTCCTTCCCCTTTTGCCTCATGAGTCCCTTCATCTCCAACTGCTTCAAAGCCTCTTTATCATACAAATAACCTGTGACCTTCACATTCAGAATGTAAGATCCAACAGGGCTTGCCACGGCCCCAAAATTGTACAAAGTAGAGTAGTATTTGAGGCCAAATATTTCAGATATGATGGCAAACATTAAGGGCCATAAAGCCCCAAAGCAAAAGCCAATAATTACTGAGGCAAAGTAGAGAGAGTTTGGGATACCAAATGCTATTAGAAGATGGCCAACACAAGAAAGAAGCATGACTAGAGTGAGCATCAAGGGACGAGGGAACCTGTATTTGGTCAATAAGTACTCAGAGGCAAAGCCAGAAGATGCTCTTCCTAAGTAGTTCCATATACTCACAAGGGACACAAAAGTTGTGAGGCTCTTTTTGGGGTACCCCAATGAGTTCCCAATTTGTCCTAGATTGTCAAGTGCTGTTAGTGTCCCTCCAACACCAAACACTGTTGCAATGAACAGAATCAGCATGTCAATGCTGAAGAGAGCTTGGAAGATGGTGTAGTCCTCACCCCTTTGTGGAGGCTTGAAAATGTTCTTCAAACATGAATTGTTTTTCCTTTCCAAATCAGTTGGTGCTGCTTGTGGTTGTGGCAATTCAATAACTGAAGCAGCAACATCTGCTTGATCAGTGAAGGTTTGGTTTTGGTTTTGGTTCTTCCAGAGTTTGAATTCTTCCCTAAACACAACAAAAAGTGGTAGAAGAAGCAAAAAGAGAACCACCATGCCATCCACTATGTACTCCACTCTTGTGAAACTCAACTTGTTCTGAATAACAATCAAAACCATGAGAAACCCTGCCACCCCAAGTGAAATATAAAGAAGTTTGTAGAAAACCTTGATCTCTTTGTGTTGTGGGGTGATACTCAAGACCCTAACCGTTGGAAGGAAAATGAAGGAAATAGCAGCAGGAAGCCAACCAATGAGGAATATAAGAGCCTTAGAATTGTCACCATAGAAAGCATGGTATAGCTGAGTGAAAATAGCACCACTTAGACCCACATAACCCTTGAGGAGACCAATAACACTTCCACGGCTTCTAGGGAAACTCTTGACACAGTTAACCAAAGCACCAGTGTTAGCAAAAGACTGAGAATTAGCACCAATGTAGAAGTAGAGACACATTTGCCACACTTGTGGTTTTGCAATGCGTGATGTGACAGAAAGCCATATCATGAAGTAGCCAACGAAGTTCATAGTGGCCCCTATGGCTAGTATCACCCAGGGAGGGCTTATCTCATTGATCAAACCAGAGAAAATTCCAAGGTTGGCACCAAGGTCCTTGAAGAAGCTTATCAAGTTGAGCGTTGACTGGTCATACCCCAAAGAGGTTTTCACTTCATTGGAGTACAAACCAAACATGTATGTTGCCCCTGAAACCGCCATGATGAGACACGAGGCAAAAATCATGAACCAGCGACCAGTGATAAGATGGTGCATGAAGGCCTTGGTTTTTGTTGCCACCACCATTTTTGGAGGAACAATAAGGTGTGTGGTGAAAGGGTTATGATGTGTGAAGATCAAACACTAGCTATATTTTGTTGAGGATTTGGAACAAGGATTATGTGAGTATGCATATATTGCGGACGGAACATCGAGAGTGGGGTAATAAGATATATATTTGAGGATGCAACAATATGGTTTGTGATGATAAAACTTAAAACATAAAAGTCACTTTGTGGAAACTGGATTCTCCACCAAAAGTGGAACCAGATTCAAATCCTCGGGGAAAAAAAATTGGATGATCTGAGAAAATGACAGGCACTAACCAAGGATGCAAAGGCCACCAGGCATTGTGTGAAGAGTTGGGATTCAGTGGGAGACTTGGGAATATTAGGAATTTCAATGAACATGGTCTTTTGCAAGTTTATACTCGTTCGTTAAACTTGAAGCAGGGGATGTGGTAGTAAAGTTCTATATTTGCTTTTGTAGAATATTTTTTTTTGTGACATAAAGGAGAGAGAATATATATTTATATTTTTTTATCATTGTGATTGATTAATTTTCTTTTTGGTAGGTGTATAGTTTGGAATGATTGATTGTTAAAAGGCATAAATTAATGAATCTTGAATTGTCACGAGTTTTGGAAGAATCTATCTGTCTGTGGAGATGTGAGAGAAAGGTGGTTAATAAAATATAAACAAATATGAACTCATTTAATCATATTTAATACTATTACCTCTAAAATATTCTTAAACATAAAAAATTGAAATAAATATTAACTAATTAAATGTTTTTTAAGTATATTTTTGTCTTTCTAATATATTTTTTATTTTAATTCTTATAAAGTTACTTTTTTTAATGATCTTTATAATTTTTTGTCCTTATTATATTATTTTAGACCTTATAATATATCAAAAACTTCATTTTAGTTTATATAATATTTTGTTCATTTTGGATTAGCTTCTTTAAAAAAAATAGTAGAGACTAAAATTAAATTATTCACATATTACAATGATAAAAAGAAAAAAAAATGAATATATTATAAAGACTAAAATAAAATAAAAAGAGTAAAATTAAAAAAATACAAAGACTATTTTAAAGAAGTAATAAAACCAAACAATGACATATTATATATTTAAGTCTTAATTTAATTTAATAATATTATCTATAAAATATTCTTTATTCAATCAAAACTTTGTTTAAAACTATTTTTTCTATTTATATTAGAATTCTAATAAAGTTTCAAGAAAATTGTTTTTAAATGAAATTAATACAATAAATAATGTAGTATTAAGTAACATTTTTTAATTACTGTGAAGTACTATGTTAGAAATGGTTATTTCCTTTCAAAGGCACAACTCACAACTGATAATAAATATTTATTATGTATTTCATAAGTCATAATTCATTAGCCCAACTCTATTAGCCAAACTCTAAATTAACTCTTTTTTTTTTTTCATTATTAAGGAGTGCTTTTATTCAACATGGATGATCTCCCTCTAGCCAAACTAGCATTTGAAAGTGAATAATTTGCATTGTAGTATTAAATTTTTCTCTTTTATGACTATTGGTATCATTAATATATAACTAGTTTTAATTTTTTACTGCTGACTTTTTACTAATTATTTTTATTATTGATTTTGAAACATTGTAAAATAAGATATTTTTTTTTAGTGAAGTTAATAAAAGAGGTTTGTCAAAACATTATTTTATCTGTTAAAATTTTAATTTTGACATTAAAATGTTCGAATTTTATTGTTAGTGACATTAAGAATAGTAAAGAGACAAAAAAAAACAAATTATATCTTAACTTGTTAATAATTATTTATTATAACTAGAAATTTAAATTTAATATATTTTTTTAAAACTTTTTAATTATCATTTACAATAAAATAATTAAATAAATTAAATATAAAATAATTTTTTTACCAGAAATTTATAATTTTAAAATAAAGTGAAGAGAGCAATATGTAATTTAAATATATCACAGAAAGAACCTATATTTACACTTGAAAGATAAGAACGGGATCAGTTTTTATAATTGATATTTTTCAGCTCTTTAGGTTATGTTTGAATTGTTATATTTATTTAATAAAAATAATATAAAATACAATGACACTTGATTCTTACTTTATTAGTTAAATGAAGTTTGAGATGAAATTAAATTTTTATTTATTAATATTTTTTTTTATCATTTTTCCATTTTGGTGTCAAAAAAAAATTATTTTTTATTTATTGTTTCATTCACTTATCAAATAAAAAAATGCATTTATTATTTTTTTAATTCATGGTGATATAAGAGAAACGTTATATATATATATATATATTATCAATGCGTATTTTTCATTAAATACGACAATAATCCTATTTTATTGTATATTATGATATTTAAAAATTCATAATTAAAATCATATACTTCTTAAAAACTAAGACTTTATAACGAGGAATGATATTAATCATCATTAAATATTGAATAAATATTTTTTTAACAAGAAATATGAAAAAGAAAATATTATCATACTTTATTATATATAAGGAGGGGATGCATTGTTATGAAAGAAAATATGACTGAAACAAGTATGCATATATATAATAATACAAAAGTTGAGAAATTAAAGAACTTTGACTCTCTAAAAAGAAATCATTCGATGATAACAGCGGAAATGAAAACTCAATAACAATTATAGGGAAGAAAAAAGTGATATAGAAATGAAGTGCTCATTAGCCTCTCATCAAATCTTAATTTTTATTATTATGGAATATAATGTTGAATAATTTCTTTTAAAACAAAATAAGAATCAAATTGAAGATGACTATTTACCGGGAAGTTTTGTCTTTTACTCGAGAGTCACATGGTATATATGTACATATATTTGTTGATCGTGGTACAAAACAAAATCATGTGATTGCATTGGTGGCTGCCCTATTTATATATGGTAGTCAATTTGTCACAACGTATATTATTCAAGAATCCAATGCTTATGTGCTTGGTATGTTATCCGTAGGTTAATAAAAATGTTTTCCAGGTGAGATACATTATCTTCATGTCATCTATCATAAATTCAATTAATTAATGTTCATCTTAAAAATACTTCATAAATGTCCGTAGTTCTTACATAATTTTTTAGATTTTTAAATGTCTTATATTATTTAGAAATTAAGGTTTAAAATAATTTATAAATATTATTTTTCTTTAATCTATTAAAATGTCTTTTAAGATAAAAATCATGACAGTCTAACAAATGATAAAATAAACAATACATCAAACATATATAATAACTTTAATAATATCAATAAATTTAAGTTCAGAACATTGATATTAAAAAAAACTGAGGTCATTGTTATCCTTTAGTCTCGACTAAAAAACTTGTTCTAATGTACAATACTTCAGCGCATTGAGTCATTATTTATTACTTTTCTTGTTTGACTAAGACACACAAATAAGAACATTAAGGAAATGAAAAGAAAAAAATAGAAATGGTAATGACAATAAATGAGGCAAGACGCATGCACGGAATCACCTCTAATTTTCATAACTTTATATATCTTACATTTGTAAAGTATGGCATATCTATAGTAAGATTGACGCGTAACTTTGAAAAGTTAGAATATCGATCTCCATAAAAAAAATTGCTACAAATAAATAAATATAATCATATAAAATTAAAAATCCATACATATTGTACATAATATATGTTCAACAAAAGCAAATTACAAACTTATAAATTACTAATAATCTAAAAAAAAATTTATAGTCTATAAAACAAGTCTAAACACACTTAATCAACTTTGACTTTCTATTTCAAGAACATTAGAAGCTCCCTTGGAAGAAGTTGTCTCTACTTTTTCATTTTGATCATCTTCATCCTCATCTTCTACATCAAAATAAATTAAACATAAAAAAAATTAAAGTAAGGATGTTGAAATGAATATCAAAATTATATAAATAATAACATTTAAGAATTAAAATTGGATTAAATGAATTACCCGGATTAAAACCATACTTCCAACTAGAAACACAAATAATTGCTTCTACATTTTCAGGCAAGAGACGGTTTCTATACTTGTTAAGGATACAAGAACCAATATTAAATGTAGATTCAGATGCAACTGTGGTAATAGGGATGCTTAAAAAGTCCCTAGCCATTAAGGAGAGATCCGGAAAACGTTGACTATTATTCTTCCACCATTGTAGTATATCCATATGCTCCGTAAAATCAAGATCTAAAGTGGGTTCATCTAAATATATATCAAGTTGAGTCCTTCCAGATTTATTAGCAACTTGAAGCTTGTGCATTTTTAATTCCTTATATGATAAGAAAAAAAAATAAGTTAGAAATATACATAATATTTATATGAAGGAAATCATGATTTCAATAAATTAAAGTAAATAACTTACATCAAAAAGGTTTGGTTTGCTATTGATCGAAGATGAAGAAGAAACATCCTTACGCTTTAGATTTTGAGCATTTAATTTAGAACCATGGCTAAAATAATGGGAGAAAAGCATGTAAACTTTTTCCTTGACTTTCTCCAATTTTATTTCCCAAGTAAGCAAATCAATTCTTTCATAGCAATAACCCAATGTTTCTAACTTCATCCTTGGGTCTAAAATTGCACCAAATGCAAGCACAACACTATACTCATCCCAATACTTTTCAAATTTCTCCATCATATCAATCCAGTCATATCTCTTACAACTTTATCTTCACCTGTTACACTTCCCATTAAAAGGCATTGGATTTTCCAAACTTGTAAAAAATACAAGTTGGAAGTAGGATAACTTGTGCCAGAAATTAATGTTGTAATTTCATAAAATGGTTGCAAGAATTTACAAATCTTTGTTGCTCTTTCCCATTCTTCATCTGAAGGACAATATTTGTAATTTTCATCAACCAAATGCAGACTTCCAAAAACACGTTGATATTTAAGAGCACTTCGAAGCATCAAAAAAGTTGAATTCCATCTTGTAGGTACATCTAGACACAATGCACTTGATGAATTAATGTCACTAAATTTTTTAAGACATTTTTTGAATTTGATCATTCTACTCTCTGAACCCCTTAGATATTTGATGCTAGTTCTAATTTGATCCAAAGTGCCATCAAGTACCTTTAATCCTTCTTGAACAATCAAATTTAAAACATGAGCACAACAACGCACATGAAAAAATTCACCATCACATATCAACCCTTTTTGCAAAACAAGTTGTTTTTTTAACGTCTGTTGTAGAACATCATTAGCAGAAACATTATCCAAAGTGATAGAGAAATTTTTTTTCTCTATTCCCCAATCTTGTAAAAAGTCCCCAATCTTTTTAGATAACTCAAAACCAGTGTGAGGGGGAGGCATATGATGAAAGTTAAGAATCTTGCTATTTGACTTCCAATTTAGATCAACATAATGAGTAGTTAAACTAATGAAACCCTCAGTATTACAAGATTTCCATAAATCAG